TCCTTATAAGGAAGTAATCGAAGTTATGTTTTTTGGCGGCAATAGTGCACGAGTTTCTTGTTAATTATTAGTAAAGCGGCCTTTCGAGGTTTATTTGTCAAGCCGTTTGGATGTTGTATTTCTGAAAATATTGAAATATTTTCGTATTATACAGAAAGTTTTGTAAATGCTTCTTACAATTGTTTTCTTTTTCAGGATTATGTACAGCTCGGAGCAAAGTAAACTTTAAACGCAAAATAAATAATATCCATGGACTTTCAAAATCGATGAGGCATATTCATTTAATTCTGTTTTGATTCACTGTGAATTATATTTCTGTTTTGCATATAATTATGTACATGAAATGAATTCATTTCAGGGAGAAATTATATATGTTCTTTGCCTTTATTCATAATTTTCCCCCAAAATTCGTTTCTTTTTCCCATTATGACATACAAATTTAGACCGCTTAAATTTGGGTTTTTTAATTGTCAGGTATGGGTTCGAAGAGACGCTGGTTATTGAGCCTGGTTCACCTTTCAACAATACCAATCCCCCTTCCAACGTTGGAGTAGGGTTGGAATCCCGCTCGCAGCAAACTGGACTTTTCGAACATTTTTCAAAAACTTCTGTTTTTTTTTTCTTCTCTTTATTCAGTTTATATTGGGGAAAGTTTTATATTTTCTTTACTTTTACAACGAAAAATTTTTTTTATACTTTAATTAACAGATGAATTTGCTTAGAAAATTTATTACTGTAAGTCATGTGGAAGCTTTTTTGGGCTTTTGTCTTAATAAAAATTACCGCCTCCGTGGTCGAGGGGTTAGAGTCGATGACTTCTAATCCAGTTACCTCTCTGGCGTGGGTCGATCCCCGGGAGATGCTTTGGTAGTTAAGCGCGGAGGAAGGTAGTCTAGTACTGGTGTAACTCTCCAGAACGATCGTTAGGAAACTTCCCGCCTATATGTCTTAAATACTGTTGGGAAAAAAAATCAAACAAACAAACAAACTTAACAAAAATTGACATGTATATTTATATCCATTTTGTCTTTGTTTGTTGGGAAAATAAACGGTTAGTGGAGACGGCTTACAAATACTCCCTCTAGCTCCTTTGAGCTCTGTGTTGTGTTGTTTATTATTTCAAAGGTGTATTAATAAAGAATGTAAATGATTTATGTTCGTTTGAGTGTAACGAATTAGAGCATAAGTATTTCTTCAAAGACATTCATTCGTTATATTTGCAAGTGTTTGTTTATAATATACGTTTTACATCTGACTTCTGTCAATGATTGTTTAACATAAGTTTAAAAAAATCTAATAAATTGGAACAAGATGATAGCCTTAATGCAAATACAGTTTATAAATTATTATTTATCATCTTACAAATAAGACAATGCATAAGAATATGGAAACACGCAACCTGATTGCTTATCACTCAAATGTTACATTTTATAAAAGATATACATGTACTATGCTTATTCTTGAGAAAAATATGCTTATCACAGATTTTATTGAAACCTCTGAAATTCTTGCCGAATATGCCTAATTTGACTAAACGAATGAATAAACTAAAACTGGGAAGCTGGCTGTTCTATAACCGGACAAGTAAAGTTGTTCCTTTCATAAAAAACAGTCTGTTATTTTCTTAAATGACAGTATATATTCATATTGTGACCATCGATAATGTGTAGAATTTTAAACATACCATGAAGTCAATTAATGTTCATTTTATATGTACGACGACTGTAAGTTATTATTACTTTCAGCTTTGAGTATAGTACAAGTTTACCTTTAATGGGACAACCAATCTATTGTCAAAACATAGCCTTAAACATCAACAAAATAATCTGAACTAAATAATTGTAGAATTAATATACACTTTATCAATGCAACAAAAAGAATGCAGGGAATATATGGTTGAACTTAATTATGCTGAGTAGAAAAAAAACAAAACAAGTTAATCTTAATATCGGACAAAATCGACCGACCTTTGAAAAAAATCAAGCATATTATAAAGTGTGTACACAAATCAACAAACATATATCCGTACTTTGTTAGCATTACGGGACACCACTGAGGTTTTTTGACAAGGCGGGACTGAAAATAATTTTTCAAGATAACTTTTCCATTTTAAGACCAATTACCTTTGTGCAAAATTTCAGATCATTTGCTCACTCCTTTTCTAAAATTATTAAAAAATAAGCCCAATACTGAAAAGAGTTGCAACGCTTTTCATACAAATCGGTCTAAGAAAAGCATAAAAATACAATTTTCAATTTATTTTCTAAGTACATTTCTTAACTATCTTTACATATATGTCTGTTTAAGTGCCCCATCTGTATGACATTAAAACTTTATGTTTTTAGGTTTTTAGACATCAGTGGAGTCCCTTTAATTTGACACTTTAATTATTAAGTGTCACTGCTGTCCGAATTTCCAAGACAGTTAAGAGTATAAAAATATAATATAATAGTACGAATATCACGTAATCCCACACATGAGTTCATTTAATTACTTTTCAAGACATATGAATGCAAAATGAATACAAGGAAAACTCAAAACACATTTATGAAGTTAGAAACAATTATTGTAAAACAAGTTTCTTTTAGTCAGTGTGTTGTCTCAATAGTCTTTCTATATGGAGGCTATTCGTTGCCAAAAATCCAGCCTTGTTGATCTGAGTTGAACAGTTTGTTAATGGAAAAAATACAATTGTATTTCTTTGTTTGTAAACTCCAATGTTGCATACTTGGATTGAGTTTGCCGATTTAACATTGTAAACATGCATTTCAACAAAATACAATTTGTTAAACGACAAAACATTAACTGATAGTAGCAATACCAAGTGTTCAAATACTCAAAACAGAAGTTACATTCTTAGCTTTACATTGTCGAACCATCATGATTCAGATCAGCATAATCCAGCTTTACGCGTTTTTCAATAGAAGATAAAATAAGCTCCGCCCATTTTCCCGCCCACTAAATCATCGTAAATAAACGTATTTTCCGCTCATTTTCGGTATTTACCGTCGGCGACAAGAAACGGCGTAGTTTCCGTTTATCATACCTTTTAGGTGTTTAGTTACTAAACACAATTAACTTGCATGATTGCCTACAATCAACATCAGCGGACTTTAAAGGAATATAGGCATATAAGTTTTAAAACGTTGTAGACACCACATTTCCTGGAAAAAAAAAAACTTAAAAAAAACCCCGAAAATCACCAGGTTACATACTGTCTGAGGTTAAATATTTTTCTAGGAAGTGAAAACTATTGAAAAGACTATATTCAACGACAAATAAATTTCACTGATGGTATTCCAATTTGCATAGGAATGAGTAACATTTACAGTTTAAGCTTGCTACCTTACCACTTTCAAATTTTCAAGTCAACATCTGATAGAGATTTGATACGACTTATTACTAATACAGACCAAATTCTGGCTGTTGTCTTTCCTAGTAGTACTATTATATTAGTAACCTTAATTTCTAGCGTATGACTTGACAAGAAAAAAAAACTTTTAACAATAGTTAAAATTATAACCAAAGTTTTATGTACCCTTTCGTACATAACTTTTTATTTTTACCATATATTTTCCCATTTTTCCCATTTGTTTTTTCAATAAGTAAAATTCAAATGAGTCCAAATGTATGTATGTTGATTATCAATTTATGTATACCTTGTTTATTTTATCTCTTAGAAAGCCATTACTTACAAAACTTAATAAATATTCTGTGTAGTATTTCATGTACATAAAAGTAGTTCTCTGTTTTTGATCATATAGACAACAAATTTAGACAGCAAATCTAGGTTACAGCTAATGACAGCATGTATACACATATTTTAGAGGTGCTATTGATTCAGCACAATGCATAAAAAGACCTTAACCTACGCCAGCTTACATATATTTAACAATAAAAGGCTAAATCACATCCTATGACTCAAAATACCTCCCAATGGAGGTAAGCAGAGTTGCAAGGATACACTGAATATTTATTTCAACATTAAAATGGGACAAATTCACAAGTTTTGGTTATACAACGGAATTATCGATAGTAAACTTTGCATTGTTTCATGGTTATACACTTGGTCAAATATATGAATTTTTCTACAACCCAACATAGTCTTTAAAGAAAGAAGGCACAAGCTTATTGTTCAGTTCTCTTTATTGGTGTTGCCAAAAGTGCCTTCCATGTATCGCATTCTAGTACTATGTGCTGAAGATAAAAAAAAAAGATATGCCTAAGAGTATTGCAACGGCTCACAAAACCCTATCATTGATATCAATGAATAGTGGTGTGTGTCATTATATATGGGAAACATTTCCTTATGTTATTTCACCAACTTTAGTTTTTGCATATTATTATGCTCATTATCAGTATATACGTTGTTACATTTTTACATTATATATTAAACAATTTTGCATTACTTGAATATCCTGTACTAGAATACGTTTAAACAAAATCAGAGGATGTTCAAAGTCAGGAGTGATGTAACAGTTTCTATATAATTTGAAATAGTTTTCTACCCGCAAGAGTTACCTCTCTTTATATTCTGCTTTCGTGAAATTGGCTCCGCCTATTAATTTTCGTCTATTTCCGTTGATAATTCCATATATATGGAAGTTGCAAAATCGTTTACAAATGTTAATCGCGTTAGAATGTAAAAGGAAAGTGTGGTGTTGTAAACCTGAGTGCGTCAAGTTGATGCAGTTACATTCTCAACGTCATGATACACAGCATTAAACGTATTGTGTACGTTTTATCGTTTACATTTCTACATGTCGCAAATTTGAAGTTATACATTTATAAAAACAGTTTGCAATTTATCTAAGTTGCATGTTAACAGCTTTCATTTTATCAAATCGAGATAATCAAAATGCTTAATACCAGTGCAGTATGTAACTCTCGGATCGACAATTAGATTTTTACTAATCTGTTTAGTAGAACCGAAGTATGCATTGTCAAGTTTCAAAGGCTGGATTTTTGGCAACGAATAGCCTCTATATTTCTAATGATGATCACAAACCGCTGTTTTCATACATAGTCTGTTCTGTAGTATTCTCTACAAATAAAAGAACATATTTTGACAAGGAATTATGAGTATGACAATAAAACATTTCGTTTATAAAATGCACGTATAATATTAGTAGCGAGACTTTTTCTGCACGCGGATACAGTGCACGTTTTTACACGGTACAGATTGTAGTTTATCACAAAAGTATAAAATTGAAATTATTGTTCACAAACCTGCTCAGTTTTGCCGTTAGTGGGATACATGCATATGATATTATAATATCATAAACATTTCTAAGTATTATATTTACATAGAAAGTTAGAAAACCTTCAATGGTTTATAAGATACATGTATTTGTTTGGTAAGAGATAAACGTATTGATAACTTGTACCTTCTCTAAACCGTAACACATCATACTTTGTTGTATCATGATTCTCATCTTGTCTATGCTGTAATGTTGTGTATACTTGCTGATTTCTGTAGATAAGAGAAAATAACCCTAGCTTATTTTTTTAATTCAGATCTGTATTTGTGTATATATAGCGATCTCAATAATGCAATTCAACATGTGTCTTTTAGTGTCATGATTTTATTTATAAATGGTTTTAATATGTTCTTTATATCAAATAAGTCAATGACGATTTTGTTTTCTTTCTCTCACGTTACACATAAACGAGTCATTTCATTAAAATCAAAAATAACATGTAACGTAATCTTACTATGTAGTAAGAATATATATTCCAACAAATAATTAATTAAAAGAACAAAATATAAAGCAAACCATTCATACAAATATAAAAAACAACAAAGAATACATACGGAATATTATGTTGTAGTAGCTTTCTGAGGCTTTGTATTTTTCTACGAGCAGCGGTGGAAAATTGATATCTCGCGAGACCGAAGGTCGAGCGAGATATCAATTTTCCAACGTTGCGAGTAGAAAAATACAAAGTCTCAGAAAGCTACTATAACATAATTTTCCTTTTATTATATACCTTTTCGTTTTATTCAGAAAATGAAATGTAGTTGTCAAGAAATAAATTCATGACTGACGGATGAATACGTAATTTTTGCAAACCGGCCACGCCTTTCATAATTTTGGTTCCCGTTTCAAAATGCAACGTTATACAAAGCTAAGATCGGAACCAACGTCAAAAATAGTCCGGCACTTCCATATATGGTACCGTATTTGTCACTAACATAATACGGAAATTTCTATCCGTTGAAGCGTATTTGCGCTTCAATATTTGCGTGTATTTTAGGGAGAAAATTTATAGGTATATAATAAAAACGTTTATTATATACCTATAAATTTTCTCCCTAAAATACCACGGTGAAACGGTACCATATATGGAAGCGACGGACTATTTTTGACGTTGGTTCCGATCTCAGCTTTGTATAACGTTGCATTTGGAAACGGGAACCAAAATTATTAAAGGCGTGGCCGGTTTTCAAGAATTACGTATTCATCCGTCACTCATGAATTTATTTCTTAACAACTACATTTCATTTTCTGAATAAAACGAAAAGGTATATAATAAAAGGAAAATTATGTTGTAGTAGCTTTTGAGACTATGTATTTTTCTACTCGCAACGTTGGAAAATTGATATCTCGCTCGACCTTCGGTCTCGCGAGATATAAATTTTCCGACGCTGCTCGTAGCAAAATACAAAGCCCCAGAAAGCTACTACAACATACTATTCCGTATTTATCAAAAAACCCAAAAAACAATGAAATTGCAAACTTAATGATATTATCAAATTTATGGTTAAACTGTATTTTACCTAATCTGGGGCTGTGTGTCCTCTGCATTGATCTTGTTTCCTGTTACACGTAAAATTCAAAATTATATTAATTTGCCTTTTTCGTTTATTATTTGTAAGTTTTTTTGCAATAAATTTAATCAAACATGAAAAAAATGTATACATAAAGTCATTCTTTGGGGAATCAGATTTAAAAGGGAATTTAAGTAGAAAGTAATTTGGGTTTTTTTTAAAAAATAAATAATTTTAAAATTTTTGGCGAATAAAGCCCGGGAAAAACTTTAATTTAAGGCGCTAAAAGAGTCTTTTGGGTTTTAAAAGTGGTACGATCCCAAAAATTTCCCGTATTGTATCAAAAATAAAGGGGGTTGTGGTTAAGGTCGTTTCCTTTAAAAACCCCTTTTCCCCCCACCGGCCCCGAAAATTTGGTTCTTTCATGTAGGGGAGCTTTTTTGGAAATCCGTGGTTTTATCCCGGTCCCCCTTTTGGCTGGGAAAAATGGGATGGAAAGGGGACCTGAGGTTTCCCCCCCAAAATAGAAAGTTCATAGACGTTTACTGTGTTGCTCGGGGGGGGTAAACCCCAATTTTTTAAAAATCAAACATCAAACAGACTACAAGATGTCTAGTGATCGCTTTATTTCCTGCTGCTGATTTTGACAGAACATTGTTACTAAGAGTACAATAGAGGTCTGATATGTATTTTTGGACTCTCCGAAAAAAAAAAAGAAAAAAGAAAGAGGCTAAATGGAGTATGATATGCACGGGTATACATGCGCATGCTCGAAAATGGCGGACGTATTTTTTCAAATGTTTGCGATAGTTAGAAAAATCGGTGATTAGAACATATATATGGATATATAAATGTTTCTACAATGAATTAATACATTACTGCATCTTAATTTAGTCTGTTTCATATATATAATTACGGACTTATATTGGTTTTCTAATGACAAGAAAAACGTAAAAAAGGACCCCAATATTTCTCCGTTGAACGATAACAAAAGAAACAAAGAGAAAGATGGCGGCAAAACACTCAACAAAACTTTCACGTCTCCTAATCTTCAACAAGCAGCTTCTCCAGCACAGGTTGGTCAATATGGTATCGGTCAGTCTTTTATGCTGCCGCCTCTGTATCATCCATCATCCCCTTTCGTAACAAATCAAACATCACCTATATTATCTCAGCCAAAATGTAAACAATTTAAATACGGACATTTTACAGGGGATTTATACAACGTTTGGGACAGTAATGGACGCTAAACTTGGCCAATTGAATAAAATTCAATCAACTGTCGAGAAAATAACGGAACGCTTAAAATGCCTTGATCAAAAGTTCAACGAGATTGAACGTAGTCACGCGCTTTTATAAGCGAACAGTATGATAGTGTAACGGCCACGTTCTATCGAAAATAAAGGCGATATTTCTCAATTACGTAGTGATGTCAAATTTCTGACTGCTGAGAATGAAAAAAATTAAGCTCGGCAAACGATTCCAAATGTAACGAAAATATTATTGATTTTGAAATGTCGCTCTATGCGAGATAATCTCCTGTTCTTCGGAGTTGCCGAGGGTACTACGTTCAATCCCGCTTCCTCTTGACGGTGTTCAATCAAAACCGTGACGGATTCTACGGGGTTCACTGAAACACTTCTTTACTAACCAAGACTTCTACAATCTCGACGTCTGATGATTTCCATGAACCTGCTGGACATGGTAGTATTTAGTGCACCAGCCTTGTTTTCTTCTGTCGTAAAAAGTGATCATGAAAATTTGTGTTGATAAGGTAATTCACTTTCTGTGACAAAATCCTGCGCATTAATGATCCTCGCTCTAAGATTAACATAATACGTGCACATAGAGTGGGGGAAATTTATATCAGGCAAAAACTAGGCCCATCGTTGCAAAATTTGATTCAGAATCAAAATCTTTGATTAAAGAGTCACTTAAACATGTTAAATTACAGCATACAGATTACAAATGTAGCAGATCAGTATCCCCGGAAGTGAAAGACCGCCGGAAGCAACTTATACCAGTGATGCATTGATGCTAGGAAACAGGAAAACGCGCGGTTCTTGGTCAGGGATAAACTTTATATTGATAATGAATTATATGGTTCTAAATAGGGGGACAGAGAAAAGTGTGACAATTTGAAAAATAAATTTCATGGAATGTGGGAGGATTAAATTCTGCGTAGATGATGAAGATTTTTTAGACTTGGTCCAAAATTTTGATATTCATTTGTCTTAGTGAAAACATGGCAAAAGAATGTTGAAGTTTTTTCTTTGAAAGATATGATTCTGTTTATGTTCCCAGACCTGAAAGTATTAAATCTAAACGCGGACACGGTGGAATTTGCCTACTAAAAGGGAGACACAGGCAAAATTTTCATTTCTTAGTTTTGAATTTTTCATTATTTATTCTGTAAATGTCCTCAAAATAAATACACTAAAACAATCAAAGGAAACAAAAATTGTGCTCCATGTAAAGAATAAAAATGGTGTTTTCCTAACTTGACCCGCGTGGTCAGGTTTGAAGCCCCTAAGATTTCAAAAATTAAAATTCACTGTGTCCTGGGAAAAAAGTTAAAGAAACTGTCCCAAATTTAAAAACTTGACTTTTTTTTCAAAACAAAACAATACCCCCCAACAACCCGTCATTTAATTCCGGTTTGTTCAAATCACAAAGACTTGTTTTTTTTAAAAATTCGGGGATTCTTTTGGCGTCTAAATTTTTTTCAACATAATAGTTTTTTTTTCCAAACTTCAAACCCAAAATATAAAAGAAAATTTTTACAAAATTCATTTTGGGAATTTTAAAAAAAATGTTTAATTTTTAAGTGATTTGAGTACAGAAGAAAAATTTTTAATTTTTTTCAATATTTTTGCCTGAAAATATTTTTTTTTTTAAAAACGAAATTTAATAAAGGGATTTCTATTTTTAGAATTTATAAACTGGGTTTTTTTATGGGTCAAACCGAAAAAAACATTTTTTGGTTTTTTAAATATGATTTTAAAAGTTTTTTTATGCCCCCGCAATTCGTGGGATTTTTTGTCACAAAGTAAAGGTTTTTTTTTAAACTTTAAACCTTTACCAAAAAATGAAAGGAAAAATGTCAGAATTGGCGACCCCTTAAAAGCTAAAATGTGGTGAAAAACCCGATATTATAGAATTGGACTGAAATTTTTTAAAATTTTAACTTTAAAAAAAATGAAAACGGGAATTGCAAAAAATGATATTCCCTTTTAATTTTTATGGATAAAAAGATTAATTGGGCCGGAAGAAGTTATTAAAAATTTTTAAGCACGGCAAAAATTTTGGGGAATGGCCGGGGGGCCCGGGTTTTAAAATTTTTCCTTTTTTCTCAATGGAAAAACTATTAAAACCCATTTGGAAAACAAAAAAAAATTTAAAACAATTTTACCCCTCAGGAAAACCCAAAACAAACCAATTTTAAAACAAATTGAAAAAAGCCAAAAAAAAAAAAAATAAAAGGGAAGAAAAAACCAAAAAAAAAATAAACCTTTTTTAAAAAAAAAAAAAAATTTGAAGTAAAGAAAAGAAAATTTTTAAGTAGAAAGTATAAATGAGTAAATTTTTCAAAAATTTTTCTTTTTTTGAAAAAAGAAAATATAGGGTTTTTAAATATTTTTTGTCTAAGGGCAAAAATAACCGGAATTTGAACCGGTCAGGGAAAGTTAAACGGTAGAGTTGAGGTTAAAAAAAAGATTGGGGGGGAAAACAAAGAAAACCCAAAGGGCAGGATTAAAATTAAAAATTTTCAAGGAAGGATTCATTTAAAGGAACCAAAAAACAAATACTTTTTTACCAAGCCCAAAAATTTTTTAAAAAAAAAAATTAAAACAAAAGCCCAAAAAAAGTTAAATTGTGGAATTTTAAAAATTTAAAAATTTTTTATGCAACGAATTTTTAAAAATATTAAAAATTAAAACCCCAAGTTAAATCAAGTTGAAAAACAGATTTTGTTTTTTTCCGGGGGGGGGTAAATTTTAAACCCAAAATTTAAAGATTTAAAAAATAAATTTTTAATCCCAAAGTTTTTTTTGAAATTTTGTACCGATTTGTAAAAATTTTTGGTTTTTATTTTTCCCCAATTTAAAAAATGTTATGTTTTGCCCAAAAAAAGGGAATTTAAAATTAATTTAAGAAATCTGAGTAATTTTTTAAAAACTTTTAACTTTTAAAATTTTAATGAAAAAAAAAGGGGGGGAAATAAAAAAAGGATTTAATTTATTTGAAAAAATAAAAAAACCAGGCGAAATTTTTTTTAATAACCCTAGTAAATTTTTGCGTAAAAAAAAGCTTAAGAAATTTTCAAATTTGGGAAAAGCCTTTTTTATTTAAAAGGAAACTTTTAAAAACTTTTAGCCCCCGCGTAAAAGACAGGAAAAATTTAAAGGAAAATTTGGGACTGTAAAAGGGCGAAGGGGAAATTTTGGGGCTTTTGGGGAAACAAAGGGGAAAAAATTTTTTTGGTTTTTTTTTTTAAAAAAGATTAAAGCAAACCCATTTACCTTTTAGAAAACCCTTTTTTCCTTTTTTGGAAAGTTTAAGTTTATTCCCAAAAAAAAGGACCAAAAACCTTCCCCAAAAAAAAATTTAAATTTTTGAATTTGGGGGTTTGTTTTAAAAATAAAAACGTATGGGATATTAAAAAAATAATAATTGGAAAAAGTTAAATTTTAAAACAAGATTAAAATTTTCAAATTTTCTTTTTTAATTTTCTTTCAAATGAAGACATGTTTTTCGGGCTTGATTTAAACTTTTTTTCGGCCTTCTTACCCTTTGGGTACAAACATTAAGCAAAAAAGAAAAAATTCCCGGGCAAAATTGAAAGAAATTTAATTGAAATTTTTTTAAACTGCATGTAAAATGAAACCCTAAAAAAGCAGCTAAAATTTTCAGATCATGTTATGTTGAAGAAAATAACCAGTTTTTAAAGAAATATGAATTGTTAAAAGGGATTACAAATTGATACACTAAATCAACCATTCGATAAAATACAAAAGTTTTACCTGTTTTGCATGTACGTCCTTTAAAGCCAGAGATACATCCTTCTGTGCAACTGCCGTCAATAATGTCACATCTACGGTTTAAACACGTTGTACTGCAGGTGTTTTCACAATTGTTACCGTAACTTCCATCTTTACAACCGTTGTCACAGTAACCACTTTGTCTGTTACATATAGTATCTTTGCAGTTTTCACTGCAATTAAAGTTACATTCTATTCCAAATGTACCCACCCTACATTCTTCATCGCAATATCCATCAGCTCTTTTGCAAGTGCCGCCAAGACAGTTTTCGTGACATTTTTCATTACAACTCCAACCGTAGACTCTCCTACTTGAGCAACCCTCTGAACAGTTCCCAGTGTCTTGCTCACACTTGCCATTTACACAATTATTAGAGCATGATTCATCACACTGATTTCCCCAGAAACGTTCACCCTCACAACCTAATAGACATGTCCCATCCGAAGAGTTACAAACTCTTATTGAAGGGTCAGCTGGTTTAATGCAGTGTGTGTTGCATACAGTCGGGCATGTTTCTCCCCAATGTGTGGCAGTACATCCATTTACACATTGACATGATTGGTTACATTGTTGAAGTAAGCAACCATCTTGACACTGCATTTTACAAGTTGGACCACAATAGCTCGGATATTTACATTCCAAACAATTTCCTTAAACAGTTAATATTAAAGATATATTTTATTCACCAAACACAAAACTAATAAATGCGTACTGTAGTGAGTAAATACAGGAATTAATATTTCGTTTCATGTCCCTGTTGGCCTGATTGTATTTTAGTACATGTTTTATAAGTTCAATATTAAACCATTCTTAATGAACAAAAACATTGATGAAAACTCTTCGAAATAAACAAGATTTATTGAAATTCATAATTATTTTGAAACTAAGAGCTATATCCCAAGTATGTAATGCCTTTGAGCAAAATTATTATCAAAATAGTTGTTACCGCTCCTGACCATTTAATAAGTAGATAATAAACAAAAGCAATCACAAAACAGAAAATATGGAAACCTGAAATGTCAAAATTGTAAATTTTGCATGCTAACTTTGATGGAGCAATTGTATATAAGATTTAAAGCTTAACCCTCTAGCAACGGCTTCAGCAGAACTCATCATTTTAACACGCTGTTTATTAACAAGTTTAGAAATATTCGCAGGTTTGTTCATACTACCGCGGTGATCGTGCAATCTTCAAAGTGGCACTTCCGAGCCATTTTATGTGACACATGGCCACAAAGTTAAAGAAGACATGAGCACTTAACGAGAAAAAACATTGGTCGAAACATAACAAAGAAGATATCATTAATTTATCTAACAGTGTGCAAAAACTGAAGTTTTTTTAGCTTTGTTTTTATAAATCATTGTACACCAGTTCATTTCCTATGAAGTTTAGCAATGATATATATACATGTATATAACTGTCGCAGACATTCCGAATGAAACATTTTTCTTTGCTAATATTCAAACGAACATATATCGTGATATCGTTGAACAAAATATTTATAAAAATTAGCAACATATAGGCTTCAGATTAATATTACAACAGCGGTACATTTATACCGACAACACTCTTACAATTCCATATAATTTACCGGTATCCCTGTGACACACATCTTTGCATGTGGAACTGCAGCGTTCCCCACACATGAAACCATAACGGCCTGTTTTACAACCATGATTGCAATAACCATCCTCTTGCCTACAGGTCGACTCAGCACTACCAGGTTCAACCAAACACCAGTAGTTACATTGCAAACATTTTCCAGACGACAAATAGTTGTTCATGCTACATCGCTCGCATTCAATTCCGCTGCAAAAAATGATATAATCGTTTGTTTGTTATTTTTTTATTTTGGTTATTTTTTCCTTACTCATCTATATAACATACTGGTTTAACAAGTGTAAGTCGTCGGTTACAAATTATAGCAACATATCTATTCAATTGCAGTTTTGCCTAATCAATCAAGGAAGTATAAAATATATGTATGATAGTATTCTATATTTATGACTTAATAATTCATTTGTATCAAATTAACTTTATCAATATCCTAATTCTCGAATTAAATGTTAATTGAAAAGAAGGTTACTATGTAATTCATAAAAAATAGCAAACTCCATGATTAAAAATAAAAACAATCGGAGACTGGCTAACTTTGGGCAAGAATTATGGAACAGAATTAATGCATTTATTCTATCTTGCTTGATGACATTGGAACTTGCATTATGCTTAATTCCATCTTGCTTGATGACATTGGAACTAATGCCATTATGCTTAATTTTCCATTCTTGCTTGATGACCATTGGAACTCTTGCATTATGCTTGATCCATCTTGCCTTGATGGACATTGGAACTTTGCATTTTATGTCTTTAATTCCATGCTTGCTACATGACATTAGAACCCTTTGCATTATGATTGATTCCATTTGCTTTATGATATTAAAAACGTTGCATTATTTCTGGGATTTCCGATTTTCATTATTTCATTCAAACAATTTCGTAGTGACCAATTCTTTTCATTGAGTGATATTCTATTTTTAAACTGGAACAAGCCATTTGGAATACTAAAAGGGTTAACGTTCTTACACCTTTATGTATAAGCTACCTTTCTTCATGCTCTATACAAACCCATTTACGGTTGTATTTAGTTTTTTTGTATTTACCTTTATGTAGAAGTCATTTAAAAATTTGACGTATTTTTAGTTCCCCTGATGGTTTTTTGTTAAAAATGTGAACCCTTATAATTGATTTAAATAGCACGCCCTTTTGGGTTTGAATAACTATTCAGCTTTCGTTTATTCCATTATTCAGTTGTTATGCTATAATAAAAGCTGGGTGTTCTGAGGCTTTGTGGATTATGTTTGTTTCTTTCTTACATTATATGATAACAAATTTAAACAATGGTCTAGCGTTTTGTGAACTTGTTAAGGGGCGAGAACTCTTGTTATCGATTATATCCAACGGCATTTTTTCCCCATGTTTTCGCCTTATCTCGGAATTTTCCGTTACTGTATATTATTACGGAATACCGTTTAGGGCCCCCAAATGGGGATATACGTTCTTTTTTCAAAATACAGAGGGCGACAATGCTATAAAATTAGGGTCCCCAAGCGCTTAATAAAAATAAATTGCAGAGTGGAAAGAATATAAAAACAAAAATTATTAAAAGAATTTATGGAATATTAATTTAGGCATGTATATGTAACAGTCTAATAGAAAAAAATATGCTCGTTTAAACAGTTATTCAAATGGGGCAGTTAACGGTAAGTGGGCATGGAGGTTTCAACACGGGCCTTTGGGCTACTTAAAGGGCTGCACCTAACCCCCCACCCCCCCCCAAAGATACGTTTTTATGAGCTGGGATGGAATATTAATACGTGTTAAATTTCATGCCAATAGTGGTCATTGTGTATACCTTTATCAAAACATTAATCTGTTTCTTCCAGTTGTTAAAAGCACCCGCCTAGGGTGATTTGCGAAAGGTCTTTTATCCGCCTAATATTGGGGACATTGAAAAGCAACCTTATTAATTGCGCCTTTTTTAAATGCCTCAGTCACTAATAGTGGCGAATAGGTATTTAACAATTAAAATATACATTTTAAAAGGAAAGAAAGGAAGTTGTTAATTTTGTGGACAATGTGTATAATCAATTACAAATGTTGGGCAAATCGTGTCGGTCTGATATATGGATATCAGACCATCCCGCACACACCACCCACAATTCACATACAGATAAACTAAGTAAATTAAAGATATACTATGCACATCTTTCAGTAATAAAATTTTTATCACAAGAAATTTATTGAAATCTATAATAAATGCTTACTAAAATGCTGTTTATTTTAAAATTAAAAACACATTACCCATAATGTAAGGAATCTGCTTTCCTTATTACGGGTCCAAGTAAAAGTTGTGCCTGTCCTTCTTTTAAAAGAAAATTCCATATTTTTGTAATAACACTATACATGAATATTCATTACTGCAACCCCAAATTACGTTTGTAAAGATTTTAAGCACAATGGTTTGTGTGAAGCCAAATTTATAATTGTACCTTTTACATTTTATTTTACTCCAAAAAAAAAATTAATGATTTTGTTAGCTGTACTTAAAGTCGCTGCCACGAGTTACTAAGATGACATTTCCCGGTGTGTCTTGTGTTTTTATTTATCTTCTTTAGTCTGTATTAGCCCTTTGTTGGGACAAATTGTTGCTATGATAGAATTGGTCATTTTGTACGTAACAAACGGCCATTGTTAACATTGTTTATACCATAACTTGAGAGGGACTTTAGTCTGGTTTTATTTTTTGGAAGGGACATTGCCCTTGGACAAGTAGAATATCTTAAGGTGTTTGAGGTCCAAGGTCGATAAACATACAGGCAAGCACCGCATGGCGACACTTCATGCAAATCCTTGTCTTGATGAATGATTTGAAAGAATAAGCCGCTAGTTTTATATAACCTAAAAAGATCAGTAAGATGCACCCTAATTTAATTTTTAGGCAATTTGGTCAAAAGGGTCCAAGGGCTTAATCTTTTGACCCACAAATTGGACGCCTTACTACAAACCAATAGGTTTTTAGATGAATTGTTTGTTTCTTGCGTTGAAACTGGTACGATGTATTCCACACAAATGTTTTAAGGATTAAATGTCTTGTTGCCCTCTGAGTTGCAAACTTTTTACGGATTCCAACAACTCCATGGTTTTAAGAACTGTGTGTCTGGGCTTGTATGTGTTCTTCCACACAACCTATGGTTTTTATAAGAGGAAAAATTCTGTCAAATGATACAGGATATAATGGTATTTCACAAGAGAAGTTGATATGTTTTTTTGTAATATATTTGCATGTTTTACTCTCTCTCTGGTTTTAAGAGTGATGACACCATTGATTTTGAGGTCACTTGTTCAAGGTCAAGGCACAGGGGTCTTTGATTAAAAGAAGCTGTTTCCGTGCGATATAAGTAATTAATATTCTCTTTTGTGGACCCAGTCTTCATAATTTTGCATTTTTAAATTTTTTTTTTTTTTTTCTTTGTTGTTTTTTTTCCATTATTTTTTGGAGGGATGGGGAAACTCCTCTCATATTCTTCTCTTGGTGTCTGATGTGCCAAAGAGAGAGTCCTCGCTCTCAAAACAGATAGGGCTTTTGGGATCTTTAAAAAGATTGTCCGAGCCAACTGCGTTAGCACAATCCTTCGAGACCCACTAAGATTCGTGTTTTCTATGTCATAAAGGTTGGACCCTATAGTGGCCGACGAGTCAATCTATAGATCATAAACTTGCTGTTCCCACGCAAACCCATTATGAAACGTTAACATTCCTGGTGGCCCCTTTTTTAAAAACTTTAGTAATCGTGGCCACTGACTAAGTTATCATCGTCCCACGCTTAATTTACCTCGTGGCCACGATTTAGTAATCTGGCCACAACATAGTAATCTCGTTCCCCCACGACTTAAAAACTATCTTCTGGCCACGACTTAGTTAACCCTGGCCACGGACACAGTATCTTCGTATGCGCACGATATTAAAAAAAACACACCACATGTCACCTTCGTGCTGCCACCTTTAAGTTTGATAAAATTTTCAATTTCACCTTTATCAACAGACGCTAAAAAGAAAGTGTTAACAATTTGTATAAGAGGTGAGTTGCCACTTGCTAGGATGAGTTTATTAGAGACATATATAACTTTTTTTCCACATGCTTGGCGGAACTTTTCAAAAAACACGCACTTTTCGTCGCTGTCGCATCGTGTTCTCTTGTTTTTTAGATAAATTTTACATGTCAGTTCCCCCAACTAACACTGTTCTGTAATTACGCCCCTACATTAAAGTGGACGTAACTTTGTTTACTCCACGTAGCCAAAAAATACGGGATCCATCCGGGATAATAAATAACGGGGGATGTACCGACAAAAGCCGACACCTGCTGTCATTAATATGAACACAAATTATGCAACTCGCCATTATGCTTACTTGCCAATCTGCTTAGTGCATCGTACTGTCACATGCGACTATAATATCGCTAATCGTTGTCATCTTCGTTGTCGATGCGCAGTGATCATGTATTGCATTGATATTTGTAATCAGTGAATATATTGAAGCATATGAATGCTAAGACACATCAAAATCAGCCAATTATTGATCAAAATGAATAGTTTAATTTGACATAATGCCGACAATATAAGTGGCAGATTTATAGCAAATTAAAGATACAACTACCATGTTACATATAGTTATAAAGAATGTTATCTTAAACAACAAACATAATACGTTGTCCTTAAAAAAAGATGCAATTAAACATATAGCATATTAAAATATGTGAGTTTGATGGTTAGGTAGGGAACACACAATGTTGCAATTACATGAAAGTGCATTCAGTAATCATAAGGCATGATTGAATTCAGCAAAACGCAGGTTTTCATTGTCGTAAAGAAGTATAGAAGCGAGCATAATGTAAGTTCCGATATCATAAAGCAAGATGGAATAAATGCATTAATTCTGTTCCATAAAGAATAGGTTATCAATTATTGTTTCCAATGTGGTTTTAATAATATATTTTGATGATTATATGAAATCAATTTATCAACTTGAATTATAAACTAAAGTAATGGTACATTCATTTTTTTGTCAAGAGTGCAAAACTACTGACACGAAACAATAATTCGGTTTCCCTCATAGCTGTGTATAAAGATGTACATGTTTAAAAACACTGATTTAAAACTTAATTCTTGAAAATGCATACGGCATTTCTTAATGAAAACAAATAAATAGAGGCAAGTATTTGAAAATATATACTAATAACATAAAGATACAGTCGGTGCAATGATGTCATATAAGTGACTGGATCGTAGCGTATCATTTATTCAATATAAAATGTATTTAAATGAAATTCAATATCATAAAATGATATGTAATTTTTGAAATGAGAAATTATGACACTAAAATCAATCCCTTTTTTTTCTATAACAAAAGTATACTAACTTGTTATCATTTTTTTCGACGCATCGTTCACAGTTTACGTCTATGTCAGAACATCTTTGTGTGCAGTTTGAACCATAAAATCCATCTTTGCAGCCATGTAAACATGCCCCAGATATATGGTTACATGTCTCCGTTGTGCTATTTGCACCTTGTTCACAAAAATTGCTGCACGTAACATTTTCTGCTCCTGTGGCGACTAAAAGTGTATTGTAAACAAGATATTAGATATTTTAATGGGACGCCCATAGTCGAGTGGTTAAGTTCGTTGACTTCAAACCACTTGCCCCTCACCTCGAATCCCGACAGGGACTTTTGGATTATCTCATTGGAATAACTTATCCAGTTAGCTTACGGAACGTTGGAAATAATGCACGGAAGGGCACCTGAGGTGTTCCTCCATCAGTAAAGCTGGAAAGTTGCCATATAACCTATACTGTGTTGGTGCGACGTAAAATCCAACAAAAAAGATATTTGAATGTTAACCGATCGTACTTTCAATTCAAATCGGTTTATAATTGCCTGAATCTATTGTCATAAAGTAAAGTTTGTAATGTAAAGTATTTCAAAGAGTAAAGTCACTTTTATGATAAACAATTAATTAACTATTATTTATGATAAATAATTACACCTGGTCAAATTGACCTGTAAGTCACAATATATATTTATACATTAATAATAATTCACATGGCATTATAATTATATATAATTTTCATCATCAACATTGTTGCAGAAATAGTCATGAATGAAAAAAAAGAGTACAAATTCGTAATAACTGACAAATTTCGAGGCTGTGTTCATAAGGATTACACAACGAATTTCTTCTTTTTAGATAATCTTTAGCATGAAATATAGCCACTTTCAATGGGAAGTTGATGACATTGTATTTCATTTTGTTATTATCGTTCATGCTTGATAATTGTACAATGAACATGTATATTTTGATATTATTATAAAATAAACATTGTATTAAGAAGTGCATTTCGTCTTCTGGTAATTGATTAAAATTATGATTACAAACGACAATGGTAATTAAGTTGATTCGCAATATTTTCACTGTTTTCCAGTCATTAGCGATACTATGTAAAAAGACGTTTACATTATTCTAAAAATACCAAAATGAATATTATATCTAAATTTGATCACGAAATAAATAAGACATTTATAAACTATAAAACAAACCTAATAGTAAATTATATACATTAATATTATGTGTCTACTTACTTCTTAAAAGCATAACTGATAATCCTAGTATCTCAATCATTGTTTTGTGTATCAACTTTCTAAGTAGTATATTATTACTCTCGTGTTGGTGAATAGTAAATACAGTATAACAATGCCTTCAATGAAGAGTAGCACAAAGGTTATCAGTAAAAACTTATGACTAAAACAGGAAGTTAAAAAAAACTTGTTATGAGGGTAAATACACAATTGCAACTATTAATAAATTAAATCTCTTGCACAAAGTTGATAATTCTTTGTTTGGTCATGAAGTTTGATGGATATTTTTATAACGAATAACATATTAAACATTCTTTTTCTGAATACTGCGTCATTAACAAATAATTACGCAAAATATTTATGTTCCCTTTTAATGTTTGCTTTTTTTCTATATTAAAATGTTTTGTTCGGCGAGTAATTTATTATTGCGAATTGTTTTCTCGTTTAGGTCAGACACATACATGTACTATAACTCGGGTGTAACATTAAACATATCATGAAAACCGCTGTATGAACACATCTGCCGATGATTTAAATTAAATATTTCCCCATGTTTCGAGAATGAATTCTGCTGGACGGTAGCTTGCAATTTTAACTGCCTCCATCAAGCCCAACCTGCAATTTTGTAATTTTGCCGTTTTGAGCGTTCTTTACGAATTCTGCTTTTCTCTTTTTAAGCTTATCTTTTATTAAAAGCTTTTACAAGTCGCAGTCATGACATGATATTAAAAGTAAAAATAAAACGCTTTTAAGAACGTTGCCTCATGTCTCATTTTTATAAGAGGTATGTAAACGGATTTTTGTCTTTTCCATTTGAAGAAAAGCTATTTAATCAGCATGCATGCGTAAATCATGACATCAGTTGTAACGTAATCTCAGCAAACGATGTCAAGATAACTCCACTAAGGGACGTTTCTGGTATTTTATCCATTCTATTTCTTACAATATTTTTCAATTTTTGAATATAATTAGGCCGTTTTTCATTACAAAAGTATAATTTGTTACAGTCATTCTTGCGTTTCTTTCTATCATTTAATTACAAATAGAGTTGAAGTTTTCCATTTAATCAGTGCTATAGGAAGCAGGATAAGGGAAATATATACTATTAGTTAAAAAGATCGTTGGCAGGTTATATGGCCCTTTATTACCCTTCCAGATTTTTTCCGCCTTTTTGATTGGATATTGATCACCCGAAAGAAATTGATATAACCGAGCCAGACGGGTAATATACACACTAAACTTCCCCGTTGGGTACCCAACGTTGTAAACAACATGCGCTGAGGTGATGCGCGTACGGTTCGATTTTACGCGGTGTAAATTCCGATTTAAAAGCACTTTTTAACTGTCAAATGATAAATATTTACCAAAGTAGAGTAATGATACATATTACCATCAGTATCGAAAACAAATATGACCTTGTGAAAGCTTGATATTAATTACAAAAAAGTGCGTTCAATAGACTACTCCTTTTCTCTTGTTTACATTCGTAAGGTACGGGAAAAATACGTCATGTATTTATGTGACGTCATGTTGTGACGAAGAGGTATCCTTAGGGGAATCTTATTTCGACGTTTCATTTGAAACAGCAATGATTTTTTTAAAAATTGTCTAAACTCGGAAGGGGAAGGGTAATAAAATTATTATTTTGGTTAACGGCTTGGGTGATATAAAATCTTAACAGGTAATATATCCACATATATCACTCCAAAACCAAAATAACATATAATATAAACGGCTGTTTGTAAATATAACCCGAGCCGCTAGGCGAGGGTTATATTGCAAACAGCCGTTTATATACGGCCATATAACCTGTCAACAATCTTTATAACGAATTTATAATACAGCAAGCATTACTTTTAAGAGAAAAAAGTAGCAATTCTTCATGAATCGACAGCAGCCGTGTAGATAAAACTATATAAACGTCACGATTATCCAATGAAAAGCGACGTTACAAACGTGAAGTCTTATAGATGTAAATATACATCCATGCCAGGACGTACAAGCTTTTAGAATCGCGCTGTAAATTGTGTATTTTAAAAAAGATAAATACGAGTACGAGGGATGTTCGAAAAGAATTGCTTATTGTCCTCTATCTCGTGAGCCACGTGGGACACGATAAATGTATAGGGTAATTCAATACCTACACAACGCTGTATAAATGTACATGTTAGACTTAGTGTAACACATACAATTTTCCATTTAAATACACGCAGTCATTGACCACTTTAGTAAAAATGGTTGGTATAAACAAAAAAGATGAAATATGATTTTACATCAAAGCTCGCTCAAAACTGGGCTGTTTTTTGAAGCAGTTGATGACTGAACTCTCTACTGCTTATGGACCTTCTTCTGTGTCTTATGATACAGTTAGGCGATGGAAAAGGAAATTTGAGTCTGGTGTAGAGTTCATTAAAAATGCATCAAAATCAGGTATGCCAAAATCTGCATCTCGTAACGAAATCGTTTCCATAATATAGGATATCATTGAAGGAGATGCCAGATTTACAGTTCGTGATATTGCACGAAAGGTAGGCATTTCGCAATCAACGGTTCACTTTATTTTGAAGAAGCGTTTGAAAGTCAGAAATATTTCTGCTAGATGGGTGCCACATCTGTTGACCGATGAGCAAAAGAGGCAACGGGTTAAGGTGGCCAAAAAGCTGCTTCAAATGTTTCCCAATTATGACAAAAAATAGTTGCCATGTCGCCACAGGTGATGAAACTTGGATCCATTATTTTGAGTTCGAAAGAAAAGTTAGCAACAAAATCTGCGCCACTTAACGCCCAATAATTGCCAAACGGTCTTTGAGTGCAAAGAAGGTTTTGTATGCAATTTTTTTCTCTGGTGAAGGAGTCGCAATAAAAGTGCCGGTGAAAAAGGGCAAAAGTATCACTGGGAAGTTCTACAAAGACGAAGTACTTAAGAAACTGAAAAAATATTATAAGAAACGACGCCCTGTCACTGGTTTTAAGCATATCCGTCTTCTACACGACAATGCCTCCGCTCATACCTCCGCAATAGTTTCAGCGTTTTTGAAAAAAGAAAAAGTAACTGTTTAGCCTCATCCGCCATATTCTCCAGACCTTTCCCCATGTGATTTCTTTTTGTTTCCGAAATTGAAATTCGTCCATGCTGGGCGGAAATACAAGTTCCGACAGACACTTGGATCTGCTATTTATCAGTACCTTTTTACTGAGCCCAAATCAGCGTACCGTGACGACTTCAAGAAGTGGTAACATCGGCTTAAACTTTGCATTTCTAGCGACGGGGACTACTTCGAGGGCATGAAATGAACACTTTTGAGCTAACTTGAACTTTGAAGTCTCAAGATAGAGAAATAAGCAATACATTTCGAACATCCCTCGTAAGGTGTAATTCTTGTTTACTTCACAGTCATGTCATGTGTATTTTATTTATTTTACTTTCATATTGTTTTTATGTATTTATTATGTTAACATTTAAGTTGATTATCTGAACAAATTGCGATCAACAAAATATCGCATTATGGTCAAAAATCGTAAACACTTTCCAGAACTGTCCATGAACATTTCAAATAAACCTGAGTTTGCAACATTCTCAATTTTGTCTTTTAAACATTCTTTAAGAATTAAATTTCTCTCTATTATGTTGCTTTTTTGATTGTCCGGCAGTATGCAGCGTCAGCAACAACTTCATTGGATTTTTCACAATTAGCACTGTATGGAAACCAAATAATCATCCTGCGGATGCTGTGACGAGATTTAGATTACTCGTTGATTATACACGAAACGATAAATGGAAAACATGAAAATATCTTTCACTTTTTAATATTTTCATTATAGCAATTAGCATTTAAGTATAAAGTAAGGGGAAAAGACCGAGTTTCTGTCAATTCCTTGAAAGTAATGGAGACGATGTCCCGAAGAGAATATGACACAGACTAACTGCATGATAAAAACTCTTTTTGGGTGTTTATTTTGAAGGTATTTCGCGAATTAGTTTTAAATTTATTATTATACATTTATGATAATCAAAGCACAGAAGGCGCTGAATTTGTTTGGGTCTCAGAGTGTCAGAAAGTTGAAGGTTGTGAGATTATAAAACAATTTGTTTTTGTATAGTGCCACCAATGCTTTCCAGCGTTTAATTGTAGTAGATTGGCTATAAGACTAATTGCAACACTGATATTCAATCCAATGTTTATTTGACTTAAACAATTTGAAAAAAATGAGTTGCCTTAACTGGGATTTGAACTCCAGACGTCTCGCTTCCTAAGCGAGCGCGCAAACCCCTCGGCCACGGTGAATTTATGTGTTTACGGTCTGAAAAAAAACATATTATTCTAAATTAGGGTTTGTAACGACGCTAACTGTTGTTTAACACTTGTGCAAATAATCATGGCGCTTACTATAAGCATGTATATCTATAAAGAATAAAACAATATTAGAAATCTTCGACCATTCGGAAATTATTTTGCTTGAAAATTAATGCGCCTGTCATGTGACCATATTTACGCAGTGATCTCCTTGAATTTTTCGGCCTTAGTCTTACATATAAAGGGAAGTAACCGCTTCAAAAAAGCGGACTACTTTCGGCATTTGCAATTAACAGCATTAGAATCTGAAATTTCGCTACCATTATTTGTTTGGTCTGACGACCCAAACAAATAATAAACATATTTCGTCCAAATGATAAAGAACTACGTGTTGAATGGTTTTTATCCCATGAATGACAAAACTTGAAAGCTGGTACTCTTTGTAAATAATTTTTTAGATATTTTATGTTGGAAATAATCCAAAAACATATTCTGCATTGTAACTGGATAGTTACTTCCAAATGATTAACATGCGTGAAAAAAGTTAGTGTTTCTGGCATAAGAGACTTATCACTATCTACCCTTAAAATGCATCTATATGAACAATTATTCTGTCGTTTGACATTTCTGAATGTTTTTCTAAAGATAATATAACATTTTCTTCGGATTTTCCTTTCTATTCTTTTTGTCTGTATCGATGTTCAACACAATATGAAAGGAACATTTGACATTTCTAAACGACTGAAATGTACATGATGGATTCATATTTTAACTTATCATTTGCGCATAATTGTTTAAAGGTATTTCGCATGACTTAATCTAAAAGTCGCATTTTTTATAGAAAACA